TATATATATAATATTCTCCATAACTATTATACAACTCATTTCGCATAAAGCTGTTACTGCCACAAACAGATTCTAAGTCACTAAGCAAGCCAATACAAATTATGGGTGACAAATATCTAACAAACTGAGAAATTTCATAAATACATGATTATTAGATCAGGGAAGCACTGAAACAAGCCAAAAAGACAAGTCAGTGTTGAATGAAGAATCCCTGTATAATAAGCTCATTTGTTATGAATGAAGTCAGGAAGAGGGAAGAAAAATGTGATAAAGTTGCAGGCTCCTGAGTTGCCTAAACCCTAGAGGTTCCAAGCTTTCGCTCGAAAAGGCGGCGGAGGAGATATACTTGTAGCACGCTGGCTCCAATCAGTGCTGCAGATTCAAAAAGTGCCTTGTGTATCGCCCTTCTGCTCATCCCTTCATTTGCTGCACGCCAATTTTTACATTCGGACGTTATCTTTGGAAATAGAAACAGATGGAGCTTATGTGGAAAATGAATAAAAAGTAGGTTAAAAATAGAATATCAAAATAAAACTTTGGTCATGATAGATTTTAAAACTCTTGAATTTGATTTAAAATACGTGAATAATCAATCAAGTTTTATACAACATTGAGAAAAGTGTCACGGGGTCGTTTTAATTAGAAAGTTTACAGATGTGTTAATATAGTCTCTAGACTCTTTTAATATTAACTGAAATAATCCCCCATGGATAACTATTTTAGTCTCAATTTAAAGAGTTTGAGAATTAATTTGTCATTTTTATCGAATCGGGGGACTATTCTAACACTTCTATCTCAAAACAAATTCAAGAATTTTGTAACTGATCCTGACCAAATATATTGATCAAGATATACTTAATTTTTTTATTTTTTTATTTTTTACATAAATAGCAGTTAGTAACTCCTTTAAAAAAATTAGATGGATAGTTTAGACAAAAGAGAGCTACCAATTGCTTGACGTTCGGTCTGAGCCTCCAGCCAATGCTGCTCAAATTGAATGTTGTAAAGAGCGTCTTCTAACTTGTTGATTTGTTCAAGGAGAGGAGACAAATGTTCTGCATATTTTCAGCACAGCATAAGATGAAAGGGAAATTTACATACATGCCGCACAATTCTTATGGATTTAGATATAACACCTAAAGTTTCATATTTAAATTTATAGCGCTTTGGTATTAAAATATATATGCATGAAAGGGTGTTAATGATAGTGATATTTCGGAGGTGATGTGAAAAAGTTGAGTGGTAGGTGTATAAATATTGAAGTTTCTGGTGCTAAGACATATAAATATATAAAAATTGTGTGGTAGGTATGTAAATGCCCCAATATGAAAATGATGAAATGATGAAAGTTAGAAGCCTTCAAAGCCTTACCATCCTTTGCATGTTCTTCAAAGTAAGTGAAGTGGGCAACATGAACATCAAAATCTATTGTTTCATGATATGGAGATTTGTTGGTGAAGCAAAAGCGATGAAGGCCTTTCTTCCGAACTGCAAATTCAAATTTATCGCTTATCTTATCACGAAAATCATGAATTTGATTGCCAGATGGATCTTTCACCTGAAAATCATGGAATTATCAGATAACAAATTTAGCGAGAAATGGAAACATATTAAATTCAAAGACAAATAAGGAGAATTATTGTTATAGAATATAGTATTCATTAATTACAATAGTAACCCCATGTCTTTGGCAAGATCTCAGCACATATCAGTTTATAACATACGTTTGTTTCCATAAAAAGACAGTTTAAAAAAAAAATCACCAATTTATTCTAACTTGGCTCTCTAATAAGTATAAAACAACAACATGCCTTTGCCCACTAAGTGGGGTTGGCGACATGAATCCTTTTTTCTCTGATGTGTCAAGTTGGGTGTCACATTTTCATATGATTTTAATTAACTAAGCTCATTTTTTAAAAAATATGCCCAAGTCTTTTTAGTTCTACCTCTAACTTTCTTACCATAAGTTAAATTTAAAACATCTACTCTCCAAATAGAGTCATCAGATGATCGACATTTAACATGACCAAATCATCAAAGACAAATCTCTCAAATCTTCTCCATCATTGGAGCTACTACAACCCTTTCAGGGCATGATCGTTTCGCTTTTGTTCTAAAAGTGTAAAACCACTCATCCACCTGAGTATTTTAATCTCAGCAACACTTGACATAATTTTTTGCTTCTCATTTACAAGCCAACATTTTGCACCATAAAGCATTACAGATCTCATCAACATTTTATAAAATTTTCCTTGAGGTTTAAGTGATGTGGGGCTCATGGGGGATCAACTGGGCCAGTCCAGCTGGTCCTATTGGAGGGGGGCCCGACAACCCCCTCCTTAGTACTCTTTTCTTTCCTTCTCCCTTCCTTTTTCTTTCCTTTCTTCCGCTCCCTATTTTCTTTTCTAGGCCTTTTCCTAATTTAAATCCTTTCCGAAAGCCTAAATCCTGATTTTATTCTCCTTCCCTAATGTAAACATTTCTTAAAATCTGAAATCTTCATTTTATTCTCCTTCCCTAATTTAAAATTTTTCTAAAATCAGAGATCTTGAATTCTTAATTTAAATATTTTGTAAATTACGGTCAAATCTTTTATAAATAGGAGATGAAGTGCCTAATGTTAGGGGTCTTTGTTTGAAATATGAACTCAATTTTGTGTGAATATTTTCTCTCCCGAGGGGTTGTATCCGACGACGAGAAAGGTGCTCCGGCTATAACCCCATCCAAGGTGGTGATTACCTTTGCTGCCCTTTCCTGTTCCCTCCACCACACGCTGCCCCGCAGTCCGCCGTCGTTCCAGCCACATTCCTGCACCGCCAACCACCTCCCTGCCAGCCCACAGCGAGCGATTCTCCCTGTTGTTCCTCCCAGGTTGCTGCCTAGTCCACCGCACCTTCCCTGCAGTTGCAGCCCCCTGCTGCCTCTTCCGAACGCCTCCACTGCAGCTTCCCTATTGTGGCTGCTCCCCGCTGCCCCTTCCAGACGCCCCCACTGCAGCCTCCTACAGTCACGGCTCCTTGCTGCCCTCCGCCTCACTCCCATTAGGCCGCAACCTCCGTCAGTTTGTCCCAGCGCCTCCCGCCGCTGCCTCCTTCCTTCCGGCGGCCCACAATCTTCCCCCGCCTCCGCTCCTCGGCTTCAGCCGCCCTTAGTGCCTCCGCTAATCTGCTCTGGCCACCATCCATGCCTTTGCCCCTCGGCTTCGGCCGTCATTCGTGCCTTTGTTCCACAGCCGTGGCCGCCTTTCCCACCGCCTTTGGATTATAGTCTTCGACGACATTTCCCGCTTCCCCCGGCTGCAGTTCGATGCCTCGACAAGCGCTGACCTACTTTTACCAGACGTCGCTCCGGCCTTCACCGCAACCACCGCTCTAGCACCCTCTCTCCGGCTCCCTCGTCGAGCTTGTTGTGCCTTTATGTGTTGAGTCTTGTTGTAATGTTTTGATTTACATAGTGTCTTTCTTTTATTTGTGTCATCATTGTAACTGTCTTTTAAGTTATTAATAAATCCGTGTCTTGCATCGTAGTTTGGGTTAACTCCAGTATCACTAAGTGGTATTTTTCTATCACACAATAGGCCCGATGCATTCCTCCACTTCAATTATTCAACTTGAGTTCTACTAATAACATCAACATCTATATCACCATCACTTTGAACGATAGACCCTAGTTATCTAAAACATTCACTTCTTTTAATGAACTGGTCACTAATTATTACAACCACAGCTCTATATCTACTAATACTAAAATTAAATTTCATGTATTTAATTTTAGATCTACTCAAACAAAAGCCTTTATATTCTAAAGTTAACAACCTCCATAAATCAAGATTTTTTCCTAAACTCTCTCTCTAGGGTTATCCACAAGAAGGATATCATCAACAAAAAGCATATATCAAGGTACATCTTCCTGCAACTGTTCAATAAGAATATCCATAACTAAAGGAAAAGAATATGGGCTTAAAGCTCATCCCTGATATAATCCAACTAAAGCTGCCATTGTCGGGTTTCAAGTCCCGGATGTGAAAAGTGGAGGGCTTCGTTGCGCAGTCGACAATAGATGTAAAAATTTTGTAAAAAAATTATGACATGAATCGTTTAAGCTCTCTAACAAGTATAAGTTCCTAATATTTACCATTTAATTATTCTAAGCAAAGGAGGCATCCAACAATCTTCTTCAATGCAACCAAAAAAATTTGCCTACATTTAAGGAGAAAGTTGGACTAGAAATAGCGGCAATCATGACGAACTACTTTGCCAATAAAAAATGGCAGATTTGCGAACACAAATAGAGATAAAAGAAAAAAAAAAGAAAAAAGAACTTGTTAACACACATGAACTACAAATATGAGAAAGAAAAGAAAACGATTGGACAAGCTTAAAAAGATGAAAGAATTAAACACCCAATCCACCAATAGAAAACGTTCACATAATATGAGTGAATGAAAATAATCTCAAGTTGGCCCCTCAAAAAAAAAATTTGCATTTACAGCCCAAATTAGTCTGTACAAAAATACGTAACATATTATGCTCAAAAAAGCGAAAGGCTTCCAATGCAAATGATTGTGGTAGGATAAGTGCTGCCGAGTTTCAAAAACCAAGAAGATAAAGAAAAAGTAAAGTGTGATATAAACACATGCCATGCAATTTTTATGTATTTACGTATCTAACTGCAACACCTAAAGTTTGATATTTATATAACACCCAAATTTTGAACATCACATCAAAAACACCACTAGGAATAACTTTTCCAAAGTGAAATACACCTTTTCATGCTATAGTTTGATATATTATGATTATATAAATAAACATCAAAATTTAGATGCTAAATATCTAAATATAAAGTAATTTTGACATGCATGTAAATTAATTTAGCTCTAAAAATGGGCGTCCGAAGAGGGGGGGCTGTTGTGTGCAGTACAGTGGCACTGTTTCATGATTAAAACGTAACATGCTAAATATATACTAGAGGGAACTTCAGCATTGCTCCAAGCATGCGCCAAAAATAGCTTCACATTCCATTGACTCTTACATTTGTGAGTTTTTCTAGAGTGATAAACCGTTAGATCCTTCTTAATTCAATTGGGAAAGTGATAGATAGTGTGCTAGAAAACTCAGAACAAGTCGAAACTCCGCTCTGGTCTAAATCATACTAACTCAAGTGTTGACTACCAACATAGATTAGGGTCAGATTCACATGACTAATTGGTTTATGTTATAAGTTCGTTTTTAATTTCTCCATAAACTTATTGTCCCTTTATTATTTTGTCTAATTGTGTTTTCACTGTGCATGAAATGGTTATATAGCGTAGATATTTGAGATCCATTCATAAGTGCAAACAAGAAGAATCGTGTGGATGCCAAAGAGTATTATAAGTGGGCATTGTGCCTGCCTTATAAAGTGTAAGATAAGGGGGTCAAGTCCAAACAATGTTTCGTGGTTTCATTGAGAATAAACATAAAAAAAAAAAAAAGTGGTTTAGACAATGCCATGTTTTGAGGCATTACAATATAAGTTTACACTCATTTGTTATCAATGTAATCTTCAAATTAAACAATTTTGATTATTTGAATAGATTTCATATTGTGAGCGAAAGAGATCTAGGTCAAGTGATATGCTCCATCTTTATCAAGTAAGAGGTTAAGAAGTTCGAGGCTGATTTGTGGCTTTCTTTAAAGTAAATGTTCTCAAGCCCTGCCCGAGGAATTTGATTTGTAGCTAGCCGTGTATCCTCTTTACCTGCAGTTGCCTAATGCCTATTTATCTTGGCACCAGCCAGGTATCCTAGTTTAATAAACAATTTTTTTTTTTTGGACAACTTTTTGTCTTATATAGAAAAAATGAAAAAAATATATATATCTTAAAGCATAAGCCATACAAAGGATGGTCGAAAAAAGAGGTTGCTCAAGCCCAAAAATAGGGTAATCCTCGTGCACGGAACATATGCACAAGGAGATATCATGCATGTTACCCTCTTTCTGCTTCTAGTGCATATCCATCTTAACATAATAATAAGTTCATCATCGAAAACTTCACCGCCAAGCACCAAATTCTCCTACCAAACCATATCAATAAATAGCATACACCAAGGCACTTTGAATATCTTATTAAGCATTTACATAAAAAAAAGAAAGAAAGAAACATGATTTTCAACCTTGATGAAACCCCTAACAATTAATGTTATTAACACAGTTTTATCATACTTCGATAACTCCAAGCACCTAATTGCCCACCAAACCAATTCTCGTACTACTAAATATGTGTTTTCAAGATTAAGAATATATATGTAACAAATTGTGTTGCTCTTTATAGTTTTCCATTACTAATCATAACATAAACATAACATTTATAGTAGCATAGCTAGACAAAGAAACAAGTTAATGGTACCACATGTAAAAAAAATGTTTCATTGACATCACCAATAACTTCACTGTAACAGTCATCAATTAGATTGCCTTATAAATACCAAGCCTTGAACATTTTCTCAATACTTAATCTCGTTAAGGCAAAATACTTATTTTCCAATCATTTTTCATCGTCTCAATCTTTATGATTAATTAAAAACATTTGCTAACCAAAATATAATATTTGTTACAACTCAACCAACGCTTTTACTTTATGCACTAGCTCAACTTCAATGGATAAACAGTAAGTGAAGACTTTTTGTATATAAATATATACAAGATAATTTATTCATTTGCTCTTTTTTAAATATTTATTTATCGAAATAATAATATAATTATTTTGGAATGACAATATCTTTTACTAATATTTTAATATCTTCAATTTTAATTGACACTTCATGAAAAAGTTTTTGACCTCCCATCTTAAGAGTTATCACTTTAATATCTTCACACTTATTCAAAAGCCTAATATTTATTATAAGTCAAACTAATAAAAATTCATCTTTATGCATCTTCTTCAAAACTAACGCTTCAATTTCTTTACATCAAGAGGTACAAAACACTTCCATAGTTTTGTCAATTAGGCTCTTAAATAATATTTCCTCCTTAAAAATAGCATTTAATAATGTGTTTTGCTGGCATTTTCATTTTTATTTAATGTGCTAATACCTAACAAAAATCTTTATATACCTCTTAATAGACATAGCATGAGTAAAAAATATATTCATTGTCTATTCTTAGCTAGTATTTATATCTCTCTTTTTTCAACATGCTTTATTTCTAACATTTTATAAATTATATAAGAATTATACCTTTCAAATTGACTACAATACTCTTTATAAACATCGAACTTTCAAAAATAACACACAAGTAGGAAACTCGTGCCATGCATGGAACAAACAAAGATAGAAAAAGCATTTTCAAATTCATCACAGCCAACACCCATTACCAAATGATAATTTGGTGCACTACGACACATTATAAATTTTAAAAAAAGAGTTGCCACATAAGCTTGGGGCTTATTGGTTGCAACGAAAAAGTGATTAAGAACCAACTCTCATGGCGAGGAAAATATTGTTTCATAAGATTGCAAGCCTTTGACAAATCGTAATTAATAATACTTTAAATTTCCAATTTTACTTGAAATTCAAATCGCAAAAAAGATCACTTTCAACTCAGCTCAGAACTAAATAAAACCAAAATTTAAAAATTGCATATTTTTTAGTCAAGACAAATTCACTCATACTCAGCTCATGCTCACCTATACCAATGTTTTTTATAAAAAAATAAATCTCTCTTCCTTATCCTTAATTTATAGCCAAACATAGATTTTAAACATAAAATCATTAGAGAGCTTCATTTCAAAATGAGCCCTTTACTTCATGGCATTTAAAAGATCTCCAAAATTACTCCGATTCGAGATAGAACGGCTCAAAAATTGATTTCACAGTCAAAACTTTGAAAGTGATTTCAAAGTACCACTTTCCCTTTATCCCCTAAATAAGAAGAAATTTTCTCTTAATGTGGATATAGAATGCATGTAAGATGTGTGAGTGTGCATGCGCATGTGCGTGCGGGCAGATGTGAAAGAGAGAGAGAGAGAGAGAGAGAGAGAGGGAAAAATATTTCATTCCATGCTAGCAACTTCCCAATATATGCAAGCGAAATAACAGCATTCTTAGCAAAAAAAGAAAACTTCCAAAAGTATATTTAAATTGTAATTGGCACGGTAATACGCGTGCAATAGAAAACAGAAACACTTTAAAGGGACCTTGTGCCAAGTCAGAAACTTGACATATGAAACTTTAGAATATCGTTAATTGTCTTTTCCAATTTTTTAATTATCTGATACATTCTTTTCACTTCCTGGACATCTTTTCTAAACAAATTAGAGCATTTAACATTCATTATAACATTATGAACATTAACAACGTGTTGGAGCATTAGGCACAAATGATGTCAGTGCAAATAAGAAAATTACGACATATAGTTCCTTATTTAGGAGTCTTATGGAAAAAAATGTGAACTATAATTTTACTCCTATTTATTACATTTCAAATTTTATTATAATTACAATGAAAGAGAGTTTTTCTTACTATTATAGGAAAAATGCTTTTCAAATATTGTGTCGACACCTTATTTGTGTCCTCTATTTTCCGAGAGCTGATGTCCAATATTCATGTCATGGCGTGTCCTACTCCAAACATCAATTATGATGTCTAGTATTCATGTCATCCCCTTATTTGTGTCGACGCCTTTTCTCTAACTCGAGCTCGTTATGTGAGATAAATGAACATGAAAGCCTTAAATTGAGCTAAGAAATTAGATTGGTTACAAAGATAAGTTGCTTGAGTGAATATTTTGTTTGGGAATAGTTTTAAAGCATAAGTTTTGTTGAGTTTATAAAGTTGATTCACGTGAATCTCAATACAAAATTGGATGAAGCAAAAGGTTTAACAGACATCAACAACATCTAAAGACCTCATCATAACTTGTCATTGGCAAACTTAATGGTGGTGGTGGCTAAAGAAAAAAAAATGGGGATGATTCCGAGAGTCAACCTTGCATGCAATAAAACACTGACAAATAGTGGCAAATATAGCAAGAGCCCATTGAAACCTTGCCACCAATGACTGACAACAGTTGACGACGACCAGAGGGTATCATCGATAGGTGGAGGAAACCCCATCAAGTGAAATGAGAAGTCTCAATCAAGCCTCCCATTCAAGAATTAAGCAAACTAAATAAATTTTGAGATTTAATCTAGTGGGCTTAAAACCTATTAGGAGGGATTAAGCTTCCCTTGAGCTGAAACCAAACAGGTTAGAAAAGAAATGAAGATATTTTGCACTCAATGATACAGCCATTCCTATAACATAAAGAGAATCTAACAAAAAGAGTCTCACACAAATAACTAATCACCCAAAAAAATTCAGAAAAAATAAACGCATACCACGAGATCCACGCCCTCGTTGCCGTAATGCCACGGAGTCTCAGACTTAATCACAACAAACGAAACATGAACAGTATCTCCTTCATAAGGAACGTCATGGGAGAAGCACTCTTCTCTGTCTATCACAAACCTAATCCCAACAGCTGATTGCAAACATGACAAAAGGCCCACCACTGAGATAATTACCAAACTGAAAGGAACTCTCTCCATCTGCAAATCCAAATTGAATCCAGCTAAAAAAAAAAGATTAGAATAACCGATAGAATCCAGTAGCAAACGCTAGCAGATGAAACTCGCGTATAAAAACATCGCTTTGTGCGGGATAGGATAAAAATCATAAGAGGAGCTAAGATCAAGTTCTTCAGCCGGATTAAGAAGCACGGAAGTTAGAATCAGGAGAGATGGGAAATAGCACGCCACTTTCTAGGGCTCCGATGAGCCATACCTAGCTAATCGATTCTTTGGGTTTCCATTAGAGCTCTAGTAAAATGGATCTGAGGAAAATAAAAATATAAATAAATTCAGGTACCTGGATTGGCGAACGCTGGAATTGAAGAATCAATGAGGACGGAGGAGCCAGAAACGGCGGATCAAACGAAATGGGGACGACGGGCGGCTTTGGACCTTATATATATATATATATATATATTATAATCATTTTAATTTTTAAGTCCCCAATTATTTCACGGATTTCGGCCTTAAATCCCGGGTTTACTAAATCCCCTGAATCGGCGGATTTAGCAAATCCTTGACGGGCTTTCGCGCGAAAAGGAAGATGTGAAGTTACCTTTCGGAAGTAACAGAAGGGAAGGGAAAGAGGTGAAAGAAGAGAATTTTAGGCCTCTCCACACCGCGATCCGTACGTTGCCTTCCAAGTTTTCTCTGATCTCAACTGTATACCGGTGAAGGGATGCAGAAGGTCACGGGCGAAACGAGGGTTTGGGGCACGCGAAGGTAGAGAGGGGGGCGAGAGGGGGAAGGGCTTCGGATTTAGTAATAATAAACTTAGATTTATATATAATAATTAAATAATTTTTGATATAATTCTTTAAAAGTTAATTAATGAAGCAAAAATAATTTAAGTTTTAAGTAATTCTTAATTAATATAATTTATAGCTAATTAATTCAAAATTAGCTTTGAATTTTTATTTTATAAGTAATTAGTTTAATAATTTTAAATTAATAATTATTTTAGTAAATTATTAGTTATTAATTATCATAATTATTATTATATTGGAATTATTTTAATTAAGTTTAAAAATTATTTTTATTTTAGTAATACAATAATGTTTTTTTATTCTAACAAACATTTAATCATAGAAGATAGAAGTAGTCGGGTCGGGGCACTAAAGACTCGTCGTCCCAAGCTACTAGAACCCTAATTCTACATAGTCGTGAAGGTAGTCGACTTAACACGTTCAGAGATTATCGATCAACAATTTGTGACCTGTATTGTTCACGGGGACCTAGGTATTCTTAAGGTCAAAGGAACGAAACTCTATCCTATGACCCAGGTGGAGCTTCAAGAGTAGGGACTTATACCGGCTAAAGTTGTACGGATGTCGCTATAAAAAGAGAATAAATTGAGGTTTTAGGTAAAAAAGCTGGAAACGCTCCCGATCTAAGCACGTTGGACAACCACGTAAGTAGAAATCTATGTTGGGTCAATTGGGTTGGAAAAGTACTGGTACTTCTCATCGAAACATGCAAATGATGCAATTATCTAAAATGATTCTTAGATATTATAGAGGCTCTATTAATTATGATTTGAGATATGACCATGCATCCAAACTATTTAAAACTGGCCCCAAGGCCATGCGGGAAAGTAAAAATGCAGACTGAAAATCCTGACAACTTTAATCATAAAATTTAGATTATATCAATCTTTTATGATTATAATTTTTTTTAAAGAAAAATTATATTTTACGATCCTAAAAATCTTGAATTATGCTTTTCGCGACATCCCAGATAAACGAGAAAGAAAACGGGGAAAACAATCCAAGCACGAAAAAATTCCAGAAGAGAAAAGCGAGAAAACAAGCAAATATAAAATAATAAAATGTTGGTGTCATTGGGTCAGTGACACGACATATCCCAAAAAAGATAAAGGTAATCAAACACCGCACAAGTACACATATGATCCTAATTATATACATATATAAGATTTAGAATTAAGGTACAGAAAACGAGCAAACAACTCATGATCTCTGTCACGTGGTTATGTCTATCTTACATCTCAGAATCTATGTCACTACCTTATTTCTATTATAGATTCTTCCTAGGACTCCAAAAATTACAGAAGAAAATGAAATAAAAATGACTTAACCTACATAAAAATAATGTTAGCGGTAAAGCCAACAAACAAGCAACGTATAATGAGCCAGGTCTTTCTATCAAGAGAGTTGAATGACACCTGCAAGCAAAAATTTAGTAGAAATCACCACATTACTCCCTTTTTTTGTCGTATAGCGCGGGCTCTTCGAATCAGGAGCAAGCACGTCAGAGTTTTCAAACCTTTGGGGGAATTGATATTTGGTGTCCACTTGACCGAATTGTGTGTGTGTGTGTGTGTGTGTGTGTGTGTGTGCGTGCATATATAGGCACAACTCTCTGCAGAATAACACTCTTATATACTAAGAATGTACTAATATACTATCATGCATATTAAACATGCAAGCACACCAAAAAACATAAAAGTAACAATTGGCTAGAACAATCAAACCAACATAGAACAATATCTAGAGATGTCAAAAATACTACCTAACACAGTAGTTCTAGCCTAGCACAACATCTAACGAAAAGTGTCCTAACCAGCATCTAAGTGCTCAGGGTAAAGTCTAGAAATGTGTATGACTTTGAAGAGAAAGTGAAGACATACATGTAACGTGCATGATGACACAAGCTAGATTCCTTGGATCATGAGCACAATCATACTCATGTTAATCTAGATGCATGAACTTGCTTTGCTCACTAGGATCGACCCAGCAAGCAACAGTCGTTAAGGCATCACGATTAACACGGAGTCACTCACTTATCAAGTCTGACTCGCTATCCATACACACATAAAAATGCAAATTCAAACACTCATGTGATAAAAGTAGTGAGGAGTGTGTAGATGAGGCAATGACTCATAAGCGGACGTGTCGTGGAGGAAGCGACTCAAAGAGATAGGTGTGTCGTGGAGGCAGTGAACCACAAGGGTGGGCGTGTCGTGGAGGTAGCTACTCGAAGAAATGGGTGTATTGTGAAGACAATGACTTGGAAGGGTGGGTGTGTCATAGAGACAGCGACACAATGGATGTGTGTGTTATGAAGGCAGCAACTCGAAAGAGTAGGTGTGTTCTGGATGCAATGACCCAAAGGAATGAGTGTGTTACAGAGGCAATGACTCGAAAGGGTGAGCGTGTCGTGGAGACTACAACCTGAAGGAATGGGTGTATTGTACAGGCAATGACAAGAAAGATGCGTGTGTTGTAGAGGTAGTGACCCGAAGACATATGTATGTCGTTGAGGGAGGCAACAACCCAAAGAATGAGCTTGTCCTGGAGGCAGTGACCCAAAAGGGCGGGCGTATCGTGGAGGCAGCAGCCCAAATGACAAGTGTGTCGCGGAGGCAGTGACGCAAAAGGGTGGGTGTGCCGTGAAGGCAGTGGCCCGAAGAGGTGACCTATGACAGTCAGATGCGGTGTCTTAAGAAGAGAAAGTGAAGTAATTCTCAGTGGGGAGAATTACAAACGAAGTAGACTTGATGTGCAAGTCATCTGGTCACATGATATGTAAATGTGTGGGATAAGTGTACAAGAACACATATCCAAATGCATACAACCTCAAGCATACAAGTCATAAATATGCAAGATGTCATGCAAACAAACAAACAAGAGTGTATAATTGTAGGTTCATGCGTACAAAATGTGATACACCATGACAAAATCACGAGTTGGGCACGAAAGGTCGTGCCAAAGAAGGACATAATCACCCACCACGGGCATAGGGGGGCACATGCTTATGGATGCACACTTGCTGGACACTGTAGATCATCATCAGCCGCCCCTTTAATGATAACTAAAGACCGTGTTAAGTAAAAACTAGTGTCGCAGAGTAGCGAAACACCATACGGAGCATTGCATCTTCATGAACATCATGCATCGACACGCCTCAAAGACGGTATATCGATGCTCCGACAACTACTCCTGACTACAATTTCTCCCGACCGCTACACAACGTTTCCTTTGGTGTACAAACATTATATTTCAAAGAATTGTGTAATAATTTCCTTCATGTGGGATAAGGGTTTGGATGTGTAATCACCAACTTATAGTGCACAATTCTGACTGGGCTAGTCCTAATGTTTTTTTCCCTTTTCGGGTTTTCCATGTATAAAAATATATTGTCTTTACCTATCACTTTAACTACCTGAGTTTGTGTTGGACTTTCCTGCAATGTTAAGACACTAAATAATTACTCTACATCCACGAATATTCAAGCAAGCATCATCTCTTAGATAAAATCTATTGACACAAACACACATATATCATTAAAAGAAGGCCTTATATCATTTATGAAAATAATTTTTAAAATATATGTGAATGTTGGATGCGAATTTGTCGGTGAATAACACCCAAAGAATATAATGTAAGGCATGATAAAAGAGAGGGGGGGGTGTTGGGATGCACAATAATGAACAATAATTTTAATTTTTGATTTTTCATTTCTTATTAAATAATCCCCAATTTATAGATGAGGGGTAAAATATATGAAGCTACATATTTGCCCCTGTTATAATGTGGGGCATTGCATGATTTTTTAGGTATTTTACACATATAGGTCTTTGGTTGGGCCATCTTCTGACTCAGTCGGTTGAGTTTAGTAAGCCTTCGTTCAACAAGATTTGCTCGTTCGGCCGTGTTGAATCGGGATTGTCGTTCGACCCTTCACAGTCTTCAGGTTATCGAGAATTAACTGGATCGAGTTGTTTCTTTCAGCCGACTATGTTAGTCTGGTTGTCGGCTATTGGCCCCTAGATAATGAACTCCTATCGATGGAATAAGACTAAGTTATCGGGCAGAGGGTGAATTAAAATATTCTGACAAGTAGCTCACTCCTTAACGAGATGATCTTTTGGAATTGCTTCGTGCGGTTATATGATGGTGTTGACCTCATTTTTAGTGAGGTCTAG